AAAATCTCAACAAATGCTGGAACCCAATAATCCCGATGAAAATATGTGCTTTCAACTGGCTATCAATGTTGGGACGCACATCCTGCAAGGAAAACTTACTGAAAAGGAACATCATTAAGCAAGAGTCGGAGGCTATGTGTAGTTTTTGTGAAGTAACAATGGAAAATGAGAACCACCTACTAGTGTGGTGTGACTTCTCAACAAAAATATGGAACAAAAATTTTGCATGGTGGGGAATCACAAATGTCATGCCCAAGCCTTGTAAGCAGGCTTTCCAACATGATTGGGAGGGTAGAAACCAAAAGGGGGTGGCAAGTGGTGTGGTACACCACAATATGGTCCCTATGGTTAGCTTGAAACTAGAAGATTTTCCAAGCAAAGCACATGTCTATTGAAGAGGTGTTCCAGATGGTGTAGTGCAGGTCATATTGCTGGATCAAGAGCAAAATTGAAGGCTGGTCATTTTCCTACCTGGATTGGCGTAGTAATCCAAGCAGGTGTCAATTTGTAAAGTCTCTAAAATTAATGATCAAGAAAGGGTAGAATATGAGCAAGAAACAATAGTGATGGTTGTAAAATGTATGGGTTAGGGTATCACTTGTACCTTCTAATAAAAGAATTTTCTTGGCTTATAAAAAAAATATATACTTCCATGTGATTTCTATGCTATTGTCATTTTGAATTTGAGTGCTTTCGTAGTGTCTTAATTTTGTGATTGAACTAGAGTACCCTTGTATTCTCTTATAATAATTTTTTTTCTAATAAAAAACTTTCGGAATTCAGTGGAAGTAAGTTCTCCATTGCTAATTAGGAAAAGGAAATGCGTCATAACCCCAAGCTTGTATTCAAACTGTAGATAGGCTCAATACACCAAATTTCCAGAGCTATATGTCACAGAGTGCAAGTTCAGTCTAAGTCAGAGGTGTCGATGCCAAGATCATGGCATGGGATTGTGGTCACAACAGCCTTGCGTGCGCAAGCGCAGCATTGAGCCTCTAGTAGCATGCCTTGCTAGTAGAAAAAGTGTCGACATAGGAAAAATAGCATAGGTTCATGGTATCGACACCTTGGCATAATCTGGAACCACCTAAAATTCTCCAGAAGCAGTAAGGCCATGTGATTGGTGTTCAAATAGGGGTTTAGAAGAGCTTGTTAGGCCAAACCCGTGTGTAGAACTTCCTAGGGCCTTGCACATAATTCTAGAATAGATGGATCTAGAATAATGTAGGCTAGGCTTAGGAGGGAAGAGTGGAGAAGCTTCAAGAATTATAAATATGAGGGAAGTTTTGGGAGTGTTCTAGAGCCCTCATCTACAAAAGGGAATGAGGTAGACCTCATCTATAAATATGAGGTCCATTTGCTCCACAAGAGAGGCTGGTCAAGGAGAGCTACTAAAGGTGAGTGAATGCATAGAAGGGCTATATGCTTCAAGCTCTTATAAAGCTTCCTTGCAATCTAATAAACTCTTTTCTTCTCCCAAGCTCTTACCTTCATCTTTTACATGTTGCTAACCTCATAGTCTAGTGGGTGGGCTACGCCTAATGTTGAGGAAGGCTAATTTGGTTTAAGTTCAAAGGTTATTTCTAAACTAAGTGTCGCATGGTGACTTGCTAAAATCTCGTCCCGTGACATATAACTAGTATGCAAGAAAATTCAATTTATTGGATACAAAAAAAAAGAAAAAAGAAAAAGGTTCACGGGAAATGCTATAGATCTACTGCATTGCAACTATATAATTAAATATTGTACAAAAATACAAGTTATATTACCATTTTTGAATTGGCCAATGCATGTACTATTGATTGATACAATTAA